ACTACCACTACTACTACTACTCCTTCTACTACTTCTACTACTACTACTACTACTACTACTACTACTACTACTATTACTACTACTACTACTACTACTACTACTACTACTACTACTACTACTACTACTATTACTACTACTACTACTACTACTACTACTACTACTACTACTACTACTACTACTGCTCCTTATCCTCCTCCTCCTCATCCTCCTCCTCCGCATCCTCCACCTCCGCCTCCTCCTCCAGCTCATCCTCCAGTTCCTCCTCCAGCTCCTCCTCCAGCTCCTCCTCCAGCTCCTCCTCCTCCTCATCATCATCATCATCACCACCACCACCACCACCACCATCATCATCATCATCACCACCATCATCATCACCAGCACCATCATCATAATCATCAGAATCATCATAATCATCATAATCATCAGCATCATCAGCATCATAATCATAATCATCATCATCAGCATCATCAGCAGCAGCAGCAGCATCAGCATCAGCAGTATCATCTTCAGCATCATCATCACCAGCATCACGATCATCAGTATCGTCATCATCATCGTCAGCATCAGCATCATGATCAGAATCCTCACCACCACCACCACCACCATCATCATCGCCATCATCAGAATCATCATCAGCATGACCATCATTAGCATGATCATCCTCCTCATCATCGTCATCACCATCCTCATCCTCATCATCATCATCATCATCATCAGCAGCAGCAGCAGCATCATCAGCATCAGCATCAGCATCATCATCCTCATCCTCTTCCTCCTCCTCGTACTCGTCCTCTTCCTTCTCCTCCTCCTCCTCCGCCTCCGCCTCCACCTCCGCCTCCGCCTCCGCCTCCGCCTCCTCCTCCGCCTCCGCCGCCTCCACCTCCGCATCCGCCTCCTCATCCTCCTCCCTCCTTCTCCCTCCTCATCCCTCCTCCTCCCTCCTCCTTCCCCCCCCCCCCCCCGCCCCCCCATCCTCCCCCTCCTCCCCTCCTCCCTCCTCCTCCTCCTCCTCCTCCTCCTTCTTTTCCTCCTCCTCCTCCTCTTTCTCCTCCTGCGCCCCCTCCTCCTCCTCCTCCTCCTCCTCCTCCTCCTCCTCATCATCATCATCATCATCATCATATGCTGCCTCTTCGTCGTATATTCTTCGGATTATTAACCCTACCTATACGACCACCCTTCGGGTGATAAGGAGGTTCGGGGGGGGGAACCAACGTCTCACTCGATCGGTCTCACTATCGATCGCACTATCGATCTGAGTATCGGTCTCGCTCGATCGATCTCCCTCAAACGATCTCACAATCGATCTCACTCGATCGATCTCACAATTGATCTGACTATCGACCTCACAATCGATCTCACAATCGATCTCACAATCGATCTCACAATCGATATCACATTCGGTCTCACTATCGATCTCACTATCGATATCACAACCGCTCTCACAATCAACGTCATCATCATCATCATCATCATCATCAACAACAACAACAACAACATCAACATCGACATCGTCATAACCAACATCATCATAATCGGGACACCGTCCTCATCATCAACACTAACATCATCATCATCATCATCATCATCATCATCATCATCACGGTCATCAACATCATCGGGACACCACCATCATCATCATCATCATCATCATCATCATCATCATCATCATCATCATCACCATCATCACAATCATCATCATCATCATCATCAGCAGCAGCATCGGGACACAGTCATCGTCATCATCATCAGCAGCATCATCATCGGGACACCATCATAATCACCATCGTTATCATCATCATCATCATCATCAGCATCATCATCATCATCATCATCATCATCATCATCATCGGGACACCATCATCATCATCTCAGTCTCATCAGCGACATCATCAGCATCAGCATCATCAACATCATCATCATCATCATCATCGTCATCATCGGGGCACCATCATCATCATTACCAACATCAGCATCAACATCATCATCATCATCATCATCATCACCATCGGGACGCCATCATCATCAACATCATCATCATCACCATCAGAATAATCATCATCATCGGGACGCCATGATCATCATCAACCTCATCATCAACATCATCATCATCGGGACACAATCATAATCAGCATCATCAACATCAACATCATCATCATCATCGGGACACCATCATCGTCATCATCATGATCATCAACATCATCATGATCATCATCATTCTCATCATCGGGACACCATCAGCATCATCATCAACATCGTCATCATCATCATCATCATCATCATCATCATCATCATCATCATCATCATCATCATCATCATCATCATCATCATCATCATCATCATCATCATCATCATCATCATCATCATCATCATCATCATCATCATCATCATCATCATCATCATCCGGCGGGACACCGCGGGACACCGGCGGGACACCGCGGGGCACCGCACCGCGGGACACCGCGGGACACCGGCGGGACACCGCGGGCCACCGGCCGCCCGGAAGGGAATCATTTGGTCCGGCCGCGCCTCAGCCACACGGGACTTTCGCGGGACACCGGCGGGACACCGCGGGCCACCGGCCGCCCGGAAGGGAGACATTTGGTCCGGCCGCGCCTCAGCCACAGGAGACTTTCTCTCGCCCGCCCACGCAGCTTCGCCTCGCCCGCACGCACGGCACGCACGAACACGAAACCGAAATCGATTTCCCGGTAGGGGGGCTCTCCGTTCCAC